TTTGCCATTAGGCAGAAGACATCAAAGTATAGCCAGCCGAACAAACAGGTTGGGCTGTGAGACTTTTAAATACAACCACAATCACTCCATGCACACGCTAGTTTTTTCCTTTTTCTTTCTTTTTTAGTTTCTGTTATAATTTTGCACCAGTGAGGTTAAAACCAATTTCGTTGTATTTAAGTACAATGCCAATAAAGATTATACTACTATACTATACTGCATGTACCCACATCGCTGTTGTGCATTAGTGTCTGTCACCATCAAGGATCTGAGATGTTCACACGGATGGCATCATAGCCTGTAACAAGTATCAGCGAGAGCCAGTTTGGTTCTTAGTAAAGTCACCTGCTACAAACTGGGAGATGGTCACTTCTAGTCCTGCCTTAGGCGCAAAGCCAGCTGGGCGATCTTGAGCCAGCCCTTCCCTCTCAACCCTACGAAGCAGGCAATGACAAACCACTTCTGAAATCTTGGCAAGAAAACTGGAGGGATGTGTTTAGGTAGTCAACATGGATGCTAAGTATCACACACACACACACACACACACAAAACAATCACACACACACACCAGCATTATGTCACAAGAATGCAATGATGCTGTTGCTATTTAATTTGCTTCCTTTAGTCTTAATGAGGATTATAATATGGTTAAACCATAGCCCCACATGTTATCTTACCGCACTGCCCTTCTGAGTACCATTAGCTCATCCTTATCACATAATAAAAGAATACTATGGATGATTTAATAGTTTATTCAATTCCCTGGAGTCTGCTCTTTCTTCCAAGAATCACGCTGTCTGGGGCATTATTCTAGGCGAGGCCCACCCAGTCTCCACTCTTCTGTTTAAGCACTTAGAACAGCACGATGTGCCTTCAAGTCATAAATGATTTCTTCAAAATGTTCAGCAGTTACCATATTTTTGGTGTATAAGACGCACCTTTTTCCCTCAAAAAAAGAGGCTAAAAATCTGGGTGCGTCTTATATACTGAATACAGCATATTTTGCCTCCCAAAATCCTGCCCCCTTCACCAAAATGACCATGCATTTGGCCTTTAGGAGCCTTGCAGAGTGCTCCTGGGGGCTGGGGGAGGGCAGAAATGAGCGAATAAACAGCCTGTTGTTGTTCAATTTTGCCCCCCCAGTCCCCAGCAGCACTCTATAAGCCTCCTAAAGACTATCCATGCCCCTTTTTTGGGGGGGGGAAAGGGCCCGTTTTCGTGAAAAAGGGGCCATTTTTGGGAGGTTTGCGGAGCTCAAAAACTTTTTGTTTAATTTGCCTCTTCAAAATCTTAGTGCGTCTTATACTCCGGTCCGTCTTATACTCCAAAAAATACGGGTAGTTAGACATTAAGGCACAAGAAGTTGCTTCATTGAAAGGAAAACAGTTCCTGTCCCAAAAGGTTAGGCGGGAAAAAGTTGGTTCCGGCTACTCGATGCTCAGTGAACTGAAGAAAAAAAAAATCTTGCATTTGAAAAGTAATTTATTTGGAAGAAAAAACTTAGCCTTCCTTGCTAGTAAATACAATATTTCGGTAGTGGAGGGAAACGTATAGAATGAAAATGGTTTGACTCTCAAGTTGCTGCTTCTTTTGAAAGTATCAGTGTTGAGCGATCGATATTATTTATTGATCTAGAACAGGTTGTTGCTATCACATATAAACAAATAACAGAGTTGGAAAGTGTCTTTGGACTTGCCCCCTGCTCAAGCAGGAGACTCTAAACCATTTCAGACACATGACTGTCCAGTCTTTTTTTTTTAAGCCTCCAGTAATGGAACATCCACAACTTCTAAAGGTAAAGCCATTCCACTGATTAATTGTTCTCACTGTCAGGAGATTTCTCCTTAGTTCTAGGTTGCTTCTCTCCTTGGTTAGTTTCCACCCATTGCTTCTTATCCTGCCCTCAGGTGCTTTGGAGAATAGCTTGACTCCCTCTTCTTGGTGGCCATTAGATATTGGAACACTGCTATCATGTCATACCCTAGTCTTGTGATGGCGAACCTATGGTACATGTGCCAGAGGTGTCACACACAGCCCTCTCTGGGCACAGGTGTCCTTGCCAGCTGCTCTTCTGGTTTCCGGCATGCACACGTACATGTGGGCACTGGACTGGCAGGAAACGGCCTGAAAACGGCCCCAAAACCAACCAAAAACCAGGCCTTTTTCTGTTGTGTTTTTCAGACCAGGTTGAGGCCATTTTTTAGTCCCATAACTTCCTGAAAAATGGCCTGAAAACAGCCCCCCAAACAGCCTGAAAACGGCCCAAAAACCAGCCTGAAAATGGCCCAGAAAACCAGCTGAAAAACAACCTGAAAACAGCCCGAAAAATAGCCTGAAAACAGCCCAAAAACCAGTCTGAAAACAGCCCAAACACCAGCCTGAAAATGGCCCAAAAACCAGCCTGAAAACAACCTGAAAAACAGCCTGAAAAAAGCCCGAAAAACAGCCTGAAAACAGTCCAAAAAACGGCCTGAAAACAGCCCCAAAAAAGCCTGAAAACAGCCTGAAAACAGCCCAAAAAACAGCCTGAAAACGGTCCAAAAACCAGCCTGAAAATGGCCCAAAAAACCAGCCTGAAAACAACCTGAAAACCAGCCTGAAAACAGCCTGAAAAGCCCGAAGAACAGCCTGAAAACAACCTGAAAAACAGCCTGAAAACAGCCCGAAAAATGGCCTGAAAACAGCCCGAAAAACAGCCTGAAAACAGTCCAAAAACCAGCCTGAAAACGGCCCAAAAAACAGCCTGAAAACAGCCCCAAAAAACAGCGAAAAAACAGGCAGGCGTGCACCAGCCAGCTGCTGTTTAGGTTTCCAGTGCTCCGGCATGTGCAAAGACTAGCTACCTGTTGTTCATGCACATGCTGGAAACCCAAAGACCAGCATGTGCACCGGCCAGCTGGCCTTTGAATTTCCAGCGTTGTGGCGCATGCCGGTTTGTTCCAGTTTGGGCACTCGGTGCTGAAAAGGTTGGCCATCACTGCCCTAGTCCTTCTTTTCATTAGACTAGGCATACCCAATTCTTGCAACCATTCTTCTTCCTCCCTCCCTCTCTCCTTCCCTCCCTCCATTCCTTCCTTCCAACATTCTCTCTCTCTCTGTTTCACTCTTCCCCTCTTTGTCTCTTCCCCCTCTCTCTCCCTCTCTGTCTCTCCCCCCTCTTTCTGTCTGTCTATCTCTCCCTCTCTCTCTCTGTCCCTCTTCTGCCCTCCCTTTCTCTCTCTCTCTCTCTCACACACACAGACCAGAAATATTTTGGTTGCCATGTGTAATTCATACTTTCTTTTCAGCCGGAAGCTGAGAAAAAGGACGAGATAGAACCTGGCGGGGTCCCGCTGCATCAGATGGTGGCGAGAAGACCGATGAGAGATTTCATCGGGCTGGAAGAATGTGACAAGATGACCTGCGAAGCAATGCTTAACTTCAGTTTCTACCTAACCATTGGAGACATGGATGAGGCCTTCAAGTCTATCAAACTCATCAAAAGGTAGGCGGGTTGGTTTTCCCCCCCTTATTTCTATTTTTCTCTGGTGTGATCCCTTTGATTACTGGAGAGAAGAGATCAATTGATCTTGGATTGGTGGTGTTAATTTGATCTTAGAATGGTGGCGTTGCTACGAAAGCTGCATTTATTTTGCCTTTTAAGCCATTGTTTCTGTGCCGTTCCATGTTTTGCTCATTCTGAAACCCAAATTTTATTGCATAGTTTTTGTTCCAATAGGTAAACTAGACAAGACAATCTATGTATACTGAGAAATGATATAATAATAGAATTTGGCAAGTTCATTTCTGCTTTCCGACCCTTCTTTTCTACATATGTATAATCTTTATTGTCATTGTATTTAAATACAACAAACTTGGTTATATCAAGGAGATTTTTTGTCTGAGCTGCTTCGGAAAATCTTAAAGAATGTTTTGGTCCTCTTTGCCTAGATAACAGGACTTGTACATTTCTGTTATTCTCCACCCATAGCAAAGTTATCCCAGGATTGCAAATAGACCTGATGCAGGAGATTTGACTAATGAAAGCTAATTGTTGAGGTGTTTATTATATGAGGTTGTCCAGTAATATTCTGCCAAAGGAATTAGAATTTTTAAAATTACAAGCTGGGACAGAATAACAGAGTTAGAAGTGACCTTGGAAGTCTTCTAGTCCAACCCCCTGCTTAGGCAGGAAACCCTACACCACTTCAGACAAATGGCTATCCAACATCTTCTTAAAAACTCCCAATGTTGGAGCATTCACAACTTCTGGAGGCAAGTGATCCAACTGATTAATTGTTCTCACTGTCAAGAAATTCCTCCTTAGTTCTAGGCTGCTTCTCTCCTTGATTAGTTTCTACCCATTGCTTTTTGTCCTGCCTTCAGGTGCTTTGGAGAATAGGTTGATCCAAGCTATTGATTGATCATCAAGCTTCTTATAGCTTGAAATTTGTGTCCTTATGTACCATTTTTTATTTACACTGAAAATCCACGTAATTAATTTTTATTAACTCCCCCCCCCTCATGAGTCTCCTGGAGTAAGTGCTGGACAGGTCTTTCTGTGGCAGCCCCCCAAATATATATGGTAAATATAAAACCTCCTTAGCTTTTTCATTTTTTCCCCTTTAAAGGCAAATCTAGCATTTTAACTTTATTTCTATGTCTAAAACAAAAATAGAGAATTCAACTCTTACGGTGGAATTGGGGTTTGTTTTTAATTTCACATTATAATGATGGTTATTGCAATATTAGCAGAAATAACATATCTTAAATATTCTAGTATTTAAAATCATTTGGTAAATGGCAGTTAAGTAGAGCATATTTTACGCTATAGAATTTTCCTAGAAAGAAGGCAGGTAAGTTGAAATGAAACCCCATTAAGGACCAGTCTGTTTAGTCCCAGCAAGACAGCTTTCGAAATCTAAGAAAGACTCAAAGCCTGCTTTGAAGTGGGATGTAAACTCTGGAACATAAATGTACTGCAATGTGAATTTTGTCATCCCAATTTGCATGTTTTATATAGGACAGAACTTACTAGGAGGTAGAATATACTGTAGCCAAAGGAATTTATAACAACATTAAGGTGCCCAAAGGTTTACATTGGTATCTGTTTTACTAATTTCAATTACAATTGTCCACATCTATTATCTAGGCGTATTCTACAACATACAGTGCTAAAGATGCCACAAAACTTTGTAAATGTTGCACAATATTCTTATATTACTTTTTTTCTAATAGCAGATTTTTTGGTCCTCTTAAACAGTTGGGTAACCTAAGAAGGAAAAACGCTACCCGTGATTGTTTTAAAGAAATCAGTTGTAATATCCAGAATAGAAATAATTCCTCAAGAACTGCAGGCGGCATATAAAATTTAAACTTTCCTGTTTGTTTCGCTTAGGTTAAGTTGCTTATTAAGGCTTAGGTACTGAGTGATATACCTGTTTATGTCTTTTATTTGGCGTCCTGTTAAGTCATACTATGAAGCTCAAGAGTTAGCTTCATTATTCCCTTTTTGAAGGGGGGAAAAAAAAGGATGGAAAGCGGAAAGCTCATGCAAAGTTTTGAAGCGGTTATATTACAAACGTCTCTAAGAAAGAGACATTAAATATTTAGGTCAACAGCTCCATCATCCAATCCATTTTTCCCCCTCCATCATTACCTCTATAATATCATTCTTCACTGGTTAAATATTTTGCTAAACGTTCTACCTAGTGGTGGGATTCAAATAATTTAATAACCGGTTCTCTGCCCTAGTGACCAGCTGGGTAGGCGTGGCTTGGTGGTCATGTGACCGGTGGGCATGGCCAACTCAATGTCACTCAGGTCGATGGGCGCTTCGCCTTAGCTGTGACAACGTAATAAGCGTTAACCGGAGATGCAGTTTCTGTAAGCAGGGCAATAAAGATGAGGCTGGGAACAACACCAGAATGTTGCCTTCCTTCCTGCCTTCTTTACAGGATTAGCCCTGTAAAGTGGGAAAAAACAAAAGGAGATTTCTTCCTACAACCAGTTCTCCAAACTGCTTAGAAAGTTAACCAACGGTTCTCCCGAATAGGTGCGAACCGGCTGAATCCCACCACTGGTTGTACCAAAGATATGTGTGTGTATCAGGGACCTATTTATCTGGCAGCCATTTCTGATGGATTTCTCTCTCCCCCACCCCATTCGATCAATAAGGAATAAATTCTTGCCTCCCATAAATTTAGTAATTTGGTCTTCCCACCACATTGAAGCATCTTCTGAAGCTGTGCTGGTTTGATTTGAGATTTCAGCCCAGGTAGTCCTTAACTTAACAACAGTTTGTTTAGTGACAACAGCACTGACAAATGTTACTTATGAGCATTTATGACGTTTGTTGTGTCCCAAGGTGGCATGATCCCCTTTTGCAACCTTCTGATAAGCGAAGTCAATGGGGAACTCCAGATTCATTTCACAACCAGGTCACTAACTTATCAACCGCAGGGATTCCCTTAACAACGATGGCAAGAAAGGTCATAAAGATTCACTCGACAAATGTCTCTCTTAACTACAGAAACTTTGGGCTCAGTTGTCATAAATCAAGGACTACCACTATCTCTTTTGGCTTAAGCAGGCAAGAAAAAGCTACAATTTAGCACCAAATCTGAAAAAAGCCCAGCCATCAATTTTTCATTTCAATAATTGCTAATGATGGAAAGATGATGGAAAGAGAAAAGCCAACTCTTCTCGGTGTGGGTAATGCAGATATGATGAAGGATGGCAGCTTTTGAATGAACCTCTTTATCAAGAGTTAAGTGGCATGGAAATCGTTTCTACAAAATTGACTTAAAAGACAAATAAGCCTGAAATCTTAAATATTTCATGCCCTGTTAAAAGAAATTTCTGCCAAGCTTTTAAAACAGGACAATTATCCCCAGTTGGCTTTGATTTTAGAACATTTCCATCAAAGCAAGAATAATTGTTCGGGACAGATTTGATGCCTCTCAAATTTTGCACACAAATATACCCTGTTTCCCTGAAAATAAGACAGGGTCTTATTTTCTTTTGACCCCCAAAATAAGCTTTTGGCCTTATTTTTGGGGAGGTCTTGTTATTTTTGAGGTGCAGGTCACCTCATGGCTGCTGATGTGTTGTGCGTCACTGGGCCTGCCACACTTTTTGCGGCAGCCATTAGCATGACAGAAGGGTGTGGTGACTACGGTTGTGGGTTGCTATGCGTGGCAAGCAACCAGAAGAAATGGCAGGGCCGGCTGCGCATGCGTTTAAATATTTTCAGGGATGTCTTATTTTCGGGGGAGGTATATATAACATTTTTTGCTGATAAATAAATGAAGGGAGACTAGTATAGATCTATTTCAAGCTATTTAGCTGTCATCAGCTGGCCATACCCTTATTGGGATTTGAACTTGGGCTATTTTACATGTTAGGCAGTTATATTAACCTCTAGGCCACAAGCTCTCCTCCCTTATCATCTGAACCAGCGGGGATGATTACCGGTAGATGTTTTGTCAAAACACCTGGTATGCCCAAATATGGGTTTCGAGCATACTGCCTCCCTTTTGCTTTCCATGTATGTATGTATGTATGTATGTATGTATGTATGTATGTATGTATGTATGTATGTATCAGTGGTGGGTTCCAGATCCCATTCCAACCAGTACAGTTGGAACAGGCCTGATGGCGTCTACATGGACACGCACAGTGTGCGCATATGTCTTAGCGCCTCCGCGCCGCTCCAGCTGCTCAGTGGAGTGGAGCGCAGGTGCTGTACACGCCGTGCGCGGAAGCGCTGAAGACTTAAAAGACCAGTAAGGAGCTTGAGCGGCAGGTGGACCCTCCGGAGCACCGTACCGGAATGGTATCTGATGCTCCGGGCAGACTCCATTATGCCCGTACTGGGGCGTACCGCCTGCAACCCACCAGTGGTATGTATGTATGTATGTATGTATGTATGTATGTATGTATGTATGTATGTA